TCCACGGAGCGGTGCAACGGCCACGCTCTAATTGCATTACGGAAACATGAGTTTCCCCCGGCGAAATATATCACGAAACTTATCGCGCCACGAAGAAATTGCCGTGGCTCTCGCATGCACTTCGGCGCAAGTGCAAGCCTCGTAAGCTTCGGGGTCCGCCTACGTGCGCCCTTATACCTGCCCACCCACGCGGAGCATACATCACCCACCCGCACTTTCGCCACGCGCGAAAAAACGACTTCTTTCCACGAGAACGACGCCTGGTCGCACGGAATTTCACGAAAGCCCGTGGACTCTTTGACCAGCCGTATTTAGATAGGGCCTGAGAAGTATACGTTTCTTTGGGGGACTTTGGTAGGGGAAGAAACGAAGTTCAAAAATTTACATGTATTTGTTAGGAAATTATAAACCTTGAGATCAAGGAAAATTGGGATGTTTATTAGGATTAAAAAGAAGATGAGACAAGGAATTCATGGACTGAACGAAATAACAAAAACACCCTAATAAGTTTCTGTTTACATGATATACACCCCGATCAGTCATTTCACAATGACAAAACCATCGAAATACCCCGCGTTCCCAGATCATCCACGCAGGGGTGAATCAGCGCCCATCCAGCGAATATAAAATGCGAAACGAATTGCTCGACGCCTACCGCCGCGGCGTCGAACCCCCCTCGTCGCGGTTGGTCGGAGCGTTTCCTTGTGCTCTCGTTGCATCGTGACGCCGCGGAGACGCGGGTGGTTTGCAGCGCGTATAAATAAAATCGTCGCGACGTTCACGAACGGTACCGTCCGCCTGGCATCTTATAATAAGAGTATATCGTGGACGACGATGGGGATAGGAGGGGTGGGACGACTGGAAGAGAAGAGCGCAGTAATTGAGCACAAATCAAGTTTAAGGAGGCCTCCAGCGGGATTTTTTGATCGCCCTGGCCGGTAATATTTATTCCGTTCGGTGTTCCAGAGCCGCCCACGCGATGCCACGATAATTGCGTGGCGGTGTCACTGGGCGTCCGCCGAACGGTGTTAATTGCGTCGTCGCGGCGCGAATCGGAGACGCTCGTGTGTCTTCGATGCGTGGAATTTCTGGCGAGGGTGTATGTTTACGCGGCACCCGGTAGGAATTATATTTTCTCGGCAATCTGTCTCTACACCATCATGAATTCGTACTTCACCGGGACTCTAGATTCCTATGAAAAGTATTTATAATCGTGATCAATTTGTATGGAACTAAATCAAATATATATAAAATGAGAATACATTCTAACCTATCTAACACATTTTAATCTGCGAATTTAACTTTCATCGCCGTGCGAATTTTCCGCGAACTTGAAAACGGAAGGGACGAAAGGGGTGGCCCCTTAAATATCACGGTAAACAGGGGCCGCTGTAATTCGGATGCTGGCGCAGGTGGTACGCGGAAACATCTATCAAGATAGCGGGATACGAGAAAAGGGGAGCCGCTTCCGTCCTCTGCAAAGAGAAAACGGGCGAAGGGGTGAGACGGTGGATCAACTCAAAGAAACGGGGGATTTCACGGGTACAGGACGCGCTAAGCTTCGACGAGGGCGCTCGCCGCCTCGTCTTAACCCTTTTCGTCTGCCACGAGATCGCAGGGAATTAACTTTTCTTCGGGATACGCGAGGTCTTCGAGAATCTCTTCGTAACGCGTTTTCTGTCGCCCGGCGGATCAATTTCGCGAGTAGTCTTGAGAAATAGAAACAGTGATGGGAGGTAATACCTTACTTTAATAATAAGTATTCGTATGTTCTATGTTTATCGAAGAAGTTTGACTAAATTTGATAATAGTTTTGATATTACCAAATTAATTTCTCATTATAAATATGTACGTGGATAAGCATACACATGCACTTGGAAACATACACTTGGAAACTTCAAACCTATCATTTAAATTATACAAATTATTTCAATACACATACAGGGTACGAATACTTATGGGACCGATAGTCCATGCATTGATAAAAGATAATAAAATCCCAATTGCGAAGGAATGTCTCACCCACCGAAGTTAACAGAGTACCCCAGAGCTACAAAGCGAAATATTTACTGCGAACAGTATCCCAGAAAGCATTACCCCGCCTTCCAGCAATCCCGTATCGACTGTTCCGCACCGCGACAGTCGAACGCGGTCAGTCTATCGCACTTATCCGCCGCACCTGCAACCGCGCGTTCTAAGCGGATGCAACCACCTACGAGCTCGGTTAACCTGTTCGCGATCGAGTCCAGTTCGAGAAAGAATCCCGGCCGGGGCACATATGTATGTGCCCCCGAGGTACATGGCAACGGTCCCCAGGTATCTCGTATTATTCCCTATCGCGTTTATGGAGAGCGGAACCGAAAATTCTCACTCGAGTACACGGGCCTCGTGAGTGCGTTTATCGGTAGCGTCAAAATTCCGTGGAATTTACGGTGTTCCCGTTCCCGATACAGTCGAACGTCGCGTATACTCGAGCCACGGCCAAAAGACAAGGCGAACAAGTGGCGAGGCGGAGGAGGAGGGGTCCTGGAAATCGGTCGAAAGAATACAAAGAAGCTCTATCTCTCTCCTGCTCGCCACGGCCCAGATACGAAAATCGTAAAGTCGCTACATAATAGCGGCTAGTATAATCCGGTACGGCACTTCGCGCCGAGATTAAAGGTGCATAAAGCGGGCTGGGTATAAACGTTTTACAAGCTGCTCGCCTACCTGGCTGCCAAGCGTGCACGACACGAGGGAGATATTATTTTCATCGTCTCGTTACCTCGCTGCCAGCGGTTCGACAGCGTTACGGTTTTATTCCGTCGCCCCGCAGGAATTATTGCTTCTGGCTGCGCGTGTGGTCTTTCGGGGGAGAAAGAGGTTGATCCCTTACTGCAGACATTTTATTTTGTGATTCGAGAAAGAAATCATTACTATCATTACATATAATGCCTAGCAATTTTTATTCGATCTTCTCCTAAACCATAAGGCAAAAGGTTAAGAACCTCCGCCACAGAAGAATAGTCATTAGGAGACGGAGCCGAGGTTTACGAGGGAAAGTCGAGTGCCAACAATGATCAGGCGCGTAACGTGGGAACGTCAAAATTGGGGAATGTCCGTGGGTGGTTATTGCGCTAGACGCAATGAAAACTGAATATCGAATAAGCCTGCAAAAGTTGAGACTTTCCCTGCCGTTTTATCCGAATAGAACCCAAAGCTTTATATCTCGTTAAACTCGAGTCACGAGTACGGGCGATTAATAAAGTTTTTTTTTTCTTTACTTTGGCATAAAGAAAGGACGTTTCATACTTTACGTCCCATAACGTCGCCGTATTTACGACTCGCCTGCCGGATTCCTCGGTCGAAAGTAACAGTGGAAAAAAATGCAATCTCGCAGGTGGACGCGGAAGTAGGCGAACCGCGAACGGTACAATTTCGAGAAAAATGGAAGGAATTCGTTTAATTCTGAGGGAAAAATAGAGTGTTCCAGGAAAATAGTCTGAGTTTCTAATTTCATCCTAAATGATACCAGGGTGAATTGCACGGCTTCAAGGATAAAAGTGACTTCTAGAGTAACGAAATAATGGAACAAAATGCCTAGGAGTAATTTTCCCTGTATATCGTTCTAGTTTTTAATTTGAACCATTATAAAATATATCGATGCTTATTGAAGAACTCTGTCTAAATTAGATGATAGGTTTGGTATTTTCAAATAAATGCTTCATTATACGTATGTATAAATGCACCTATTAGAACGGTAGCTTTATCTTCGACAAGGGCACGCCGAGAATGTCGCGCACAATGCAGCTTTACGGAAAATGGAGGAAGGCGTGTATCGCGGGAATTTCGAAATCTAGCGCACCGGGTGCGTGGCCCGCGGCGAACAGTTGTTCCTCGTATTTCGCGTGATCGGCGCGGTGAAATAATCAGCTTGTCGCGACGTCGACGAGGGCTCACGGTTCGTTTCGTTTGACGGACGAGAGTAATTTCAGCGTGTCCGGAATCCGCGTATCACGCGCGTATCCAAGCGAGGCGGAAAGTAGCGTTCCAGGCACGCAGGCGAACCTGTTCGTTCGGCGAACGTCGAACCTGCTCTCGTCAATCCCCTGACGCGCTTCTGACGTCGAACTTCCAGATCGTGTTCGCGATACACCGGATCCCCGGGATGATAATTATCGAACGGGGAAAAACCAGGTGATTGCTCGCCTGGAGATATCCCGGGTAATTGGTGATCGTGAGACAACAGGAAACGGAAGAGGGAAGGGAAGGGAAGGCATGTTTAACGAGGGGAGCGTGTCGTGTGATTGGAAGTGTTTCTTCGGTGAAACTGATGAAACGTTGCGCGAATGGCCGATCTACGTATGCGGTCTACTTTAGGGCTGGTCGTTGGATTATGGTAGTAGAATATGTCCTTATGGGGCCAGCCAGTGGTTCTTAGCCTTCTTAAGATAGAGTTTAGTTGATCTGGTTCTGTTTTGCATGGATTCCAGTAGAATGTATCGTGAAAGGCGCGATTAGATGGTGCCTTTGATAGAAAACTTTCGAGCATTTATGGTAGCGGAGGTAGATCTTGAATAGTTTAAGGTAATTCGTGAACTTTTACGAACTGTCCACTCCTAGTGGCTAGAGGAAAGTGGTTTGGCGTCAAAACGTTCCAAGTGGTGTTTTGCTTCTGGTTCGGATGGCGGAGGTTCCACCGTGTCACGCTGAATTATTGGAGAACGCTTTGTGTCGTGACAATGGGTATTGTTTGAGGAGTAGTCGAATACCTGAATAACATGTAGCACACGCGAGCTATTCTATGAAAGAAGTTATTGCGTTGTAAGGTATGAAGTGTTCCGTAACATTGACACGCGTGAGTGAAATAGTATCTGAAGTTTAGTTAAAAGTCAATTTACATTATTTTGTTGATTGATGTGTGTCTGCAGTCAATTCCCACTTACAGGTAACGCGTTTAATATTTTAGAACGCCTCGTAGGTTACAACGCAATAGATAATAGGTTTTTCAGGTCACTCACCAGTTGTTAACTTGAAGGATCGTCAACCCCGTGTCCTGTGCCAGCTGCTTCTTCTGGTCTTCCGAAGGGTACGGATGCTGCAACAAAAAAGAAAAACAACGTTAGTTACAAATCGTGATAACACAACAAACCGCGTCACTATTTATACTATTTATTCATCACTCTAAAGGAGACGTTTCTAATAAAATTTTTGATGAGGATCTAAGATCGTGATTTTAATGCTGGACTAACACAACTCCGTACAGATTAGTAGATGAGAAAATGAGACTCGAGGGGTACCAGACGTATATACAAATTAGTCGAAGGGTTCCCTGGGGTCTCATCGTTTCATCCGTGTATTATTCCTTTGCCATAAGCTAATCGAATCTAATGCAACACAAATGCAGTACCGAGTGATACCAAACAGAGCAAATAAATTCAATTTAAAATTATCATTGAGAAGATTAATGACAGAAATTAACGAAAGTAATCATGAATATCTGCTTGATAGTTTAGTCTGAACTAGATTCGTCTCATTCCCCTAATCTTCCAATTCTAACCTCCTTACAAAGTCCCTGTGCTAATCTCGTCCATTAAAAAAAATGGCTGGCACCTGGTCCCGAAACCCATCAGTAATACCTGAACAGATCCCCCTTCCTCGTTTCCCGAACCATTATTTACGAGGAAAAGCGCGCTCCCCCCGAGGTGGACCGTGCTTTTAAACAATTTATCGAGTGATTTATCGCGTAACAGGTAAGTGCACAGAGCGCATAGATGCACCGGGAACTTTTATCTGCGCGACAGCAGGCGCGTTACATGCGCCTCGTCGTCTGGACGCACCTGTGAATTATTATTTATCGTTGCGCAACGACTAGAACGAAAACAAGAAAAAGAAGAACAACACGTGGGAGGAGGGGATGAGGGACAAAGCAGGGATAAAAAAAAAAAGGAAAGAGACAGTCGTTGGAGAGGGACGCTTTATCGCGCTGTCGCATCGACGCAGATGCGCTTCTGCCGGAGATGACGCGATCCGTCGTTGCTCGTATTGGCTTTCACGAAAGGCAGACTTTATGAGGGGCCATCGAAGATATACGAGGGAAAGGTCAGCCCGTGGACAGCCCACGGTGAAACGAGCCTCGGATAAGCGGTTTACAAGATAATCTTTCCGTTCGCGAATCATCCAAAGAAATCGACGTACACGCGCGATAACATTGCTAAAACGACGCCGGGTTTACAACGTTGCGCTGGGATTTAGTGCTCGCGGAGGAAAGTCGCAGCCCCGTTGTAAGCCCGCCGCAGAGGTCGCTGTAAATTATTCTCTTGCGTCGGTTTTAACGTTCCCTTCCTCCTCGTTCCTTTTTTTTTTTTTTTTTTTACACGCGGAGCTCGTTCCCTAACACTGGTCCCGCGGAATAACAACTTTCTGAATTGCGACCGTTACCTTCGGGGCGGTACGGTGCTACCGGGTTGCATAAATTCGTGGAAACGCAGATTAAGAGATTAGGGGCGCTAGGCGGTGTAATTGTAAAAATTTGGAGACGTGGTAACGTCGGTAGAAATTTTTGTGTTACATGCAATATGGTCGGGGACTTGGCTTGAGCATTGGGTGGATGAGGAAGTCTGCTGGGAAACCTCTGCAATTGAATCATTTTTTTAAATAATCTTAAGAAAAAATCAGTCCTAACGCAATCAGTTTTACTCGTGAAAATGTCTTTGTGACTTCAAACGAAACGACACGGGTCGAGAATCGCCATTGGCAAGATCTCAAACGGTCCGCGGCCGCGAAACTGGAGCTAGATGCATAAGCGATGCACTCCCTCGGTTATTCCATCGGTCTTGCCGCGGCAGTCCATAAATTCGTGTATAAATCTCATCGTTCTTCCAGGGAAGTTACTGCCCGCATTAATTTCGCACTTGCGGCCGCTGCTTGGGATCTTTCCGAGCGCTTCGCCGACGCCGATGGGTGCCAAGGTGCGGGAAGACGAACGACACGCGCGCAAACTTACGCACCAAACAGCGAAAACACGTGTATAGAAAGCCCCATGACGTTAATCTACTTGTTGCGTATCGTCTAATTGCGGCACTTGTACGTGGCAATTTTTTTACGATTGTCTGAAATGGATTATCGGTGTTCAGACTCAGAGAGGATTGAGATAGGATGCTAATAGACTTTGTCTAGACTCGTGGAGTCAGTATCAATTTTTGATGTTGGAATGTTTATTATAATTCAACTTTAACTTAAATTCTCCCCGAAAACTCGAAGTTCCCCAGCGACGAAGTTTGATCAGGAACCAGTGGACGAGCTCGCAGCTAACTTGTCGCCTCAGGCGCGACACGGCCCCAGGATCCTGGATCGTGGATCGATCCCGTCAAGTCCCGGGTTGCGCACAGTCGCGTCTGAATCCACCCCCGCCCGGCCCTCGATATGACGTTACAACGGGGGAACAAGCTAGGTAGCCCAGGCGAGATCCGATAGAAACTCTACGCCCAGACAATGCTCTCGGCCGATTTAATTAGGATAAGAATCGCTTGGATCGCGTATACACGACCGCACAATGGGCTTTCGCTCACCGGGACGGGGGTGAACGGGAGGGCTAGGACATGAAGCCACGCTTCTGGTGTATGTATACCGTGGCTCGCCTCCAAGAAACATGATATACAGGGCGAGGGGTCGTCGGGGATCTGCGGGCCACGGTGGTTTCCAAAAATACCGCAGGCTTCGACAAAAAGTAACGACCCAGGATCACCCTCACGGGGAAAGGTGTAGAAGGGGTGGGGGCGAACAGGGAACGTAATACCGCGAGCGCCACGTGCTAATTATGTAAAAATATGATGCGGTTCGGCCGCTTGCGGTGCAGCCGCGGGCTTTTACGCGCAGCTTGGATCCGCTCGCGTCTGCACGCACACCCGGGGGCTTGGCATCGGCCCTGGGCCCGATTTCGCGTCGAATTTAACGCCGGTGTATCGCTGCAGGTGAGTTACAATCGTGTCGTCGGCGGTCGCGTTACCGGGCCTGATTTAATCGACCGCCGCGAGAAGGCGCGATAACTTCCCTGGTTAAAGTCAATGGGTGTACAAGGTAGCAGAACACGTGGGACTCGATTTAGTGGAAATTGGTGCGGCGGATTAAGGGAAGTGGATATTACGATGGAAGGAGGTTGGGTGAACATGGGTCCTCCCGAATTTTAGGTATTTTTAGGTGGCGACAGGTCTCGATTTCTTGTTTTCTGGAAGGAGAGAATTGATAGAAAATGCCAGAAGTCTGGCTCAGAAGGTTGTGAATTTAGTTCTCAATTATGCTATAATTTGAGCTCTACGGGAACCTAATTTAGGAGGATAAATAACGAGGATTTTAATTTGGAGAATTAAATGCAGTATAAATTAACGACTAAATACAAAAGCACAGATAAGGCATACTTGCAGTGCAGAGACCAGTGAAACAGCAATTCCATAACACATGCCATACCCCTAATCTCGTAAATCTCGTTTACCTACATTGAATATTAAAGAGTACCAGCGACAACGAAAGTATGACAAAGCGGCGCGATCCTAATTCCCCGTCGTGCTCCGTCTCCTCGGATAACTATCGTCGGAATCGTACCGCGTCGGATTTGAAAAATATGCGACGGTTTTGTTGCCTAAGTACGAAACAAACTCGTCGAGCGATACGTATCAGTGTTTTTCGCATACGTTTCGTGCTTTCACGAACGTGAGGATAGACGGGGCGTGCGATGTCCGCGATTTGTTGCGTTCAACGACGATTACGTGACTTTAATATCACGATGGGGCTAATAAGAGATCAAAATTAAGATGCCACCGCGCATCGTTCCCGCGGGACCGGTGTTTCGCCCAGCTCGTAATGTAATTAACGAGATTATTCGCGGATCGCGTGCCTCGTTTCTATCTTTTTTAACGTTCCGCGCGTTTCTCATCCGTAATGCGTGGAAGGATTGCGACCTGACAGCGACTCGCCGCGACCGTTCCTCCTGGGATTCTTCGCCGCGTCTTTCTAGTCGCAATTTCTTACGTCATCTCAATTTGAATTTGTCATGTCGCCGATCGTGCTCTGCGGGGTAATTTACCTTTCACTTGCCGCGTGATATACGTCGGAGTAGATGAATGCTTGAACGAGTCGTGCAAAGATACTTGCGATTAAGTCAACGAGGACCATTAACCGATACCGATCAGATTCGTTCGGGAAAAGTGTATAACTGTGAATTTTTATTTTAGGTTATTAATTAGCGATACGATTTATCCAATAGCTAATCACTTCCCCATGGAAACAGCTGCGAAAGTCTCAGCCACGAACATGAACGTTTCAAGAGCGATTGCTCGTGTTTGACCACCAAGCTTACCGACCCTTCTCAAAAACTTTTCAAGTACGAACACCTAGACCTCGCATTTCGCCCGAGAAATCCAAGTACCCGTCCCCCTTTCCTCGAGGCTTGCGCCGGTCTCGTTGGTGTATGCATAAAACAATCAAGATAATTGTTGAAGCTACATGGGGACCGGCTGGCTGACTGCTTTCCACCCTCTTCTGGGAGCGAGGTAGCTGCCGGAACGGCAGGCGGAAGTAAAAGGGACAAAGAGAGAAAGAGAGAAAGCAGGAGCTATCCAATTACATTGAAAACAATAGTCTTAAGTGCTCGCGGCGGTCCGTTCTGGGCTGCTCCCCGACCCCTGCACGACCGATGCTTTTCCACGAGGGTCGTCCCAAACCCCCTCCTCGGACCCTCCCAGTGACGATGCACAAGTTTGACTCAGGGTAAAAGTATTATCGCGAGAAAGTTACAGGTAACACTTGGCGAATTGAATGAATCTTGCAAACGTCTCCGTGGAGCGTCTCGCGATTAAGAAATAAAACGCTCAACCGACAGGGTGGCTAGGAAGGGAATGGGTTCCTTATCTCGTGGTTGTTACTAAAATCTCCCTTACCACTGAGTTCCAAAGAAAGTCTAGAGTCTTCTGTGAATTATTTCGATAGAATGGTCCACTTAGCGCATGTGTCTTTCCGTTAGAGAACTGTCACTCGCATTTTCAAAGCGTCACGCGTATCTCTTCACGTGAAACGCGAGAAGGTAAATGGAATCCCCGATGG